TTTACCAAGGCATTGTAGAGTGGTATTAATACTTTGTGTGATCTTGATTCTATCCCTCTGTTAATGCGGCCTAGCACTGTGTTGGCTTTTTTGGCAGCTGCAGCACACTGCTGGCTCATATTTAAGTGATTGTCCACTAGGACTCTGAGATCCCTCTCACAGTTACTACTATTGAGCAAGGTATCCCCTATACTATACCTGTACATTTGGTTTTTCTTGCCTAAATGTAGAACCTTACTTTTTTCACCATTGAATTTCATTTTGTTAGATAGCGCCAAGTCTGTCCAGATCCTCCTGTATCCTAAGCCTGTCTTCTTGAGTGTTGGCTATTCCTGCCAGCTTGGTGTTGTCTGCAAATTTGATGAGTTCCCCATCTATCCCCTCGTCCAAATCGTGATGAAGATGTTGAAGAGCACTGGGCCCAGAACAGAGCCCTGGGGCACCCCACTACACACTTCCCTCCATGTAGATGTGGTTCCATTGAGGATCCTCTCTATCCAAAATGTGGACTTTGCTGTCTTCAAAAGAATGACCTTTATCCTTCAAATGCAGGTGGACTGCTGAATGTTGTCCTGATAGGTTTGATCTCCTATATTGGCTATGTGCTTATGAAATAGTTGTTTTTTTTCACCAATGATCTGCACATGTCTCACTGCATTGTATTGCATATATCACATTGCTCAGTTTTTTGTGTCTGCCTTAGTGTATTCTTGGGTTTAAGAAAACACTAAGTGTACATTTATCTTGTGTTGGTTGCAAATTTTTCTGAGCTTTTCAGATATTCCTGCAACATATGGAATGACAATGTTGTTATGTTCTTAAAAGGGGTTTTCTAGTTCTCAACCAGCTGTTAATATTTAATGGGAAAGGAATTTTGTCCCTGTTAGAATGGAGGATTTTTTTAAAGTATGAAGCAAGAGAAAGAATTGAAATCTCACAGAAGATTGTCTTCAGTAGGGTCATTGAAGATTTCTAACTCCAAATCCTTGGACTGAGCAGGCCTGCCTTTAGGCTAGGGTTGGCTTGCTAGGGTATGTATAAAACTCAGTAATCATTTGTTGGATCAAGGGATTACATTCAAATTGCTACTTTAAAGGTTAAAGGTTGACATACTTCAAATGCAGCTTATATTAGGCAGCAATAGTAATACAGGTTGTATTCACGTTCTGAGTTCCAACATCTCCCCTAGAAACCCAACAAATTAAGTTTAAGAGACTGACTTTTTCAGCTGAATTCTGCTGAAAAGACTGATTCTAAAATGAAGATTAGTAATCAAAAGGAGTGTGTGTGTGTGTGTGTGTGTGTGTGTGTGTGTGTGTGAGAGAGAGAGAGAGAGAGAGAGAGAGAGAGAGAGAGAGAGAGAGAGAGAGCTACTACTGGTACTTGGGCATTTTCTAGGTGAAGAATAATTCATTTTATAGATCTGCACCTTCCTTATACTCTAATGAAGACCTTCCATTTTACATGTTTGGGTAAATTAGTGTTAGTGCCAAACAATAGCTTACTAATTGCTGAGCATTAACTATGGGTGTGACTAGATAATAATGTGATTGCTAGTTGTGTAAATTATTTTGAACCATTGTTAGTTGTAGATGTTACTGTATCTCTTTGGTTTTCAGTCTGTGTGAGAAGAAGAGAGAAGATACATATATTCCTTTAATTATGTCCCGTGATAACAACCAGGATTAGAATCTCTGAGCTATTAAACATATGTCTTGTTAAGCACTTTCTGGTCTTGAATAATATACATTCATTCATGTTTCAGTTTTAATCCAATACATTCATTTTAGGCACCCTTGAAGGATACTAGCAAATCTGACAATCTTCTTCTTTGGTTTGAATCCTGAAGTAAACAAATTCCACTCTGGGTGGAACAGCTTTTTTCTGTTTGAATCATTTTTATATAGCAGAATCAACACACCTTTGGCAAGTTAAAAACCCACTGAAAGGAAATATTTAGAAACTGATTTATTAACATACCAAAGTAGTTTGGCCTTAGACTGATGTCCCTCAACCAGGTTATATATAACTAACAGAGAAAGTCAGTGAAGCCTCTGTCTCATCATTTCTCTGCTAATTTTTATTAATCGTTATAGTATAGTGATACCTCTAAATATCTTTATCATGCTGCTCATTCAGTAACACTTGTTAATACAGTGTGGCAAGTCACATTTGCACCTGAAGAATATTCAGACTTACATAACATGTTATCCAAAATGGCTTGCTGCTTCTATGTTCAGGTTGTGTGAAACAGCTTTCCTGATAGATTTTTATCTATTATTATTTTAATAAAAAAAAGAATTACAAATGCCATTACATCTGGACAGGCCTTCTGGATGTAAAATGCATTTAAGACATTTATGCAATTGATTTTCACTTCATGTCCAGACAATATATATATAGGATTGCATATATACTGTCCTTAAAATGACTAGCAGTTTATAAAGACAGGCTTGTTACATGTGCTATCCTTTTTTGGGATATGATTTTAAAAATGTTGGATATAGCCAACTATGAAGAAAGAATTTCCCCAAAACTGTCATAGAAAATTTAATTTTGGCTTATTAAACCAGAGCTAAAATTTCCAGTTAGGACAGACCAGATAATTAGAAGAATGTATGTATGTATATATCAGATTTTGGAGTAGTAGGATTTCGATATACAACTGTGTTAAAAACCTAACTTTTAAAGAGGAAGTCCATAAGTGGGAAGAGCTGCTTAAAACTGAATACTGCCCACATGGAAAATGAGCTACATTTGCAAGTCTCTAAAAAGCTTAATCCTAAATAAAAAGGTGAGCAGAAAACAAGTATTACAAATATATATATTTATAAATTGCAGAATTAAAGGATTCTATCTTTTCCTAGCCAAATTCAAAAGTTACTTCCCTGCTTTGTTACTTTAATTACAACAGTCAACCTTTGTTTCATTTCTTGAGATTTTTGGAAAGTACTAAACAGTCTATAAAAGATTAAAATATCCAGTTAAAATAGACAATGTTATTTATTTATTTGTTAAATTTATACCCAGGAGTCAAGTCAGCATATGTTAATTATATTATTACATAAGATAATTATGTTGAAACAATGCAGTGTAGCAAGAGTCATATCAATACAAAAACCAATGGCATACCTGGTACTGCTCCTATTTTTCCTGTAATTGCAGTTTTGTGAGATAGGTTGGGCAAAGATAGAATTCACCCAATGAGTTTTTGCAGCTGAGAAAAGATGAGTCTTTCTGGTACAAGTTCAGAACATTAGCAATAGCGCTTAGACTTCACACTGCTTTATAGCCCTCTCTAAGTGGTTTACGAAGTCAGCATATTACCCCCAACAATCTGGGTCCTCATTTTACTGGCCTTGGAAAGATGGAAGGCTGAGTCAACCTTGAGCTTGGTGAGATTCGAACTCCTGGCAGTTGGCAGAATTAGCCTATAATACTGCATTCTAACCACTGTGCCACCACGGCATTAACTATCACACTGTATGGCTGTCACTATACTTTTTTTTTTCTTTCACACATACCTTTTTCACAAAATGTAAAAGCAACACTAAATTGATTGTGTTTTTCATCAATAATACCATAAAGCCATTTATTAATAAAATACTCATTTTTATTCCTTTGCTTATGAAGAAAGTGGAAAGGAGAGCGCAGAGTAGGCTATACTAAGGACTTTTCTGCACCTCTTACCTGTGCTTCTCTGTCATTTATCCTCCTCCAAAAGTCCAGCAGTGAATGAATGGCAGCTTCAACCAGGCTGAGTATCAATTTCAGCACTGTTCCCTTTCAGATGTCTATGTAGACTAAAGAATGAAGTGTTTGGAACCTATATTTATAGAATGGAAAACACCACTTGCAGTGTTGAGGGGAATCTCATTTGTGGGCACACACATTCACAGTTTCAGTTATTTAACTAAATAATTAAACCCATCCCTTTCACAATTTAGAAACAAAATATTGAGGAAAATCCATATTCATCTTTTGATTTTCCGTCTTTTCCCATCAGCTACCCAATTAAAAGTCACATTTTATTGTTGCTAGGAATATATAAAGCTAAGATTTGGTTTTAAAAATGTATAACAACTTATTTGGAATTTGAACCTATGGCTTTCCTGTTAAACACAGGAGGGTACAAGGAACTTCACAATACAGGCAAATATGCTTTGTTCTTGTGAAGAACTTTTCCCCATGTGAAATGATAGCAAGAAGAGTGGTGTCAATGTGAGGCAAACACCAAATATGTTTCTTCTGTTGCTGTATCCAATCAGAAACAGATGCTATCTTGAAGCTTTTGTGTTTAGAGATTTTGCTTTTTAAAATTCAAATCATGATTCTCTTCTGACCAGTATAGGTAAGCTAAGTATCTCATATTTCATGTTACAAATAGCAGTTTTCTTAATAATTTGATTTGTTTCTTTGTTGAAGGTATTAAGCTACTTAAAGAAGATGAAGAATCTGTAATTGCTGAAGATGAAGAAAAGGAGGCAGAAATATCACCATTTTAGGTTCCAGCCAAATTGTCATAGTTTTGTAAATAACTCATTACAAAGTCTTTATAAAAATGAATAAACTCCATGCAGCATTTTATAAATATTGCTGCTGAGTCATAGTTTATTAAATATAGATGTGGCTCATGTTTTTTCTATAGTATTATGTCTTTTCCATCAAAACAAACTTCAGTGTCTTGTTAATATTTAAGGTAATCAAAAGCAAAATCCACTAGGCAACCACAAATTTCTTGTAAGCACTAGAAAACTGACTAAAAAAGATTATACCCAGTCTCTCCTTCTCAGTCCTTTTTATTAAACACTCATGGATTTATTTTCCCATATTTCAGAATTGTTTTGTAACAGAGTAAAAAAGACCTTCTTTATTATTATTTTACTTCAGAACATTTTTTCTGATGTATAGTAATCATTGTCTCAGTATTTGTTTGTAATGTTTTTCTTCTCCCTTTTCTTATTTGATCCTGCTCCTTAAAGGGTACTCTTGATCATTCAAGAGTACTTAGTGCCTCTATCTACAAATTACGCAATTGCAGGAACAATAGTTTCCTCATAGTCTCCTAAAAATCATGACTGGTAGAATTGAATTCCAATATCCATCACATATATTGGTAGATACACATGGCCCTCATGCACACATTCCCAACCTACATATGAGATATTCTCTATACCAATATTCAACCCAGTTAGCTTTTTATACTTTTGTAACATAATTCATTTTCACTGATAAGAAAAATCAGAAATCAAAAGATTATGCACAAGGTAATCATAGCTAAGGTACTTTTTATTTTACTCACAGAATCTGCATGGTTTACAATATTCTGTTGCAGCCTTTACCTTCTGCTGGACTAAAATGTGGATCACTTTCTGTCAACAGTTATATTTTGTACATTATTCTCGTAAGCTGTGCCCAGAATTTCTAATTCACTGAACTTCAACTCTCATATAAATACTTGGGAGTCTGATACATCCAAAGGAACTAGAAGATTGATCTATATGAAGATGCTTATCTGTCATTTCTTGCCTGTTTTATAAGTGATATGAATGGAGGAAAACTTGAGATCAATTGTCACAGATCTCATTTATCACCTTGGATTTGTAAGTGACTTAAGAGATGAGGATCTTGCTTGCTATTTCATAAAACATAACCTCCTTGGAGTTAAATGAGAATGATTTCTCTATTGACTATTTATATTGAAGTTTGCACCATTTACAGACTACTACCAATGGCAAAGCAAGTCCATAGCTGTTAATGTTAATCATGTATCGCAGTTAAAGGATGATGCTTGTCTGTTAGCTTCATTTGTACAAACAATTTGCATTGCATTTTTCCTCATTAGCAAATAAGGATGTAATGCAACCTTATGCAATCCATTTTCACAAATTTCATATTAGAAAATGCTGTGCCATCTGTAAAGGAGCTTTCTAGAAGTAAAGTGCCTGTAGTGTACATATGCTATGTAATGTACTAAAATACTAGAATATAAATTGTCTGAGTAGATAATTCTTGTAATCTTCAGATGTGCTTTTCTAATTAACAGGTGTTCACTTTATTTGCTTTTTAGCTCAGTGCCATAACTTATCCAAGTCAAATATACACTATTATACATGTCATATATCAATGTACTATGCCTCTTTGATTGCCTTTCTTGCATAATATATTACCTGAAATGTGGCAATACTATGGCTTTATCTATGATTATTCAAGGTATATAGGAGAATCTAAGCACTGCAAATTCAAATAAATTTTTAAAAATCCATCTTCTATTTCAGAAGCTATTTAATGCTATTTGGTTTCCTATGTGTTGACTGGCACCAAATTATTGACAATCTTCTTAATGTCATAAGAAATTCCTTTCCCATTCACTGTAAACATCAGTGTGTCTGAAACCGAGTTAAAAGTCAAATAAAAAAGTAATTGTATTCCTCCAAAAAGGCATATGGTGAAATAAAAAACAAGCAACACACATTTCAGAGGCACCCTCTTTCCTGTCTTCCCATTGGATATGTATTTTTAACATGATAATTTATTTCTGGAAAATACAGGACACTTATACTAATTAAGTTATTGATTTTTGCAGTATGGTTGTCACCCTTGCCAACCAACTGGATAGAGACTATTATCATTAAAACGGGAAAAGCATGTTTATGTTTGATTTAAAAGAGGAGAAAGGAGGAAGAAAAGTAGGGACCAGAATCTATATGGCATAATAAAAGATAATATGAATATGTTGTGAAAAGATCCTAATCTGACCAATTTTAGTCTTTGAACTCTAGATGATCTCCTATAAACAATTTCCTAAGGTAATTTATAGAGCTTTAAATTCCTGTTAATCCATGTTTCTTCTTTATGCAAATAAAGCAAATCTGGAACTTATTTCTTCTCTTATACTCTAGCAAAAAGTTGTTTTCCTGTCTTTCTTGGTTTCTCATCCTCAATGTGTTATTTTTAAAAAAAGGACAAAGGAAGCCATAGCTCCTAACCAACATACACATAATGCAATGACTGTATTTATATTATTCCTGAAAATGCGGTTGTATTTGGATCTATTCGGCAAGAATAACATGTAACTTAATAAATGTATTGAATTAATAGTCTTCTTGGATATTGTTTCTTGGGCACAGGTTAAAATGGACAGCGGTACATGTTGAAACAACACTAATCTAATTGGTCAGATTTTTCTTTGCTTTTTTATTGTATTTTCATGTTTGCTATTTTTCAAACTGAATTACTTCATTCAGAGAAGAGGAGGGGGGGGAGGAGGAGGAGGAGGAAGACAAAGTGATGTAAATAGCAACATGTTGGTAATTAGGGATTTGCTCTTTAACTCTATTTTGTCTTTCACTCTGTTGCTTTTGTATAGGAGTATTAACTAGGTTGTCTTTTCTACCTTTGTTCCTCATACAGTACACACACAAAATTGTTCCAATGATTTTGGTAACTTAATACAAGCTTTAGTTTTGTACATGAACACAGGCAATGATATATTAAATCTTTAACTTAAATCAAAGAAAAAAATATTTTCTGACTTTTCAAATCAAAAACAAAGCTTGCAAAAAGTTTGATTTTTTTTTCAAAAATTCATGATCTTACATAATTTCCAGTTTTATTTTTAAACTGTTGTTAAAAATAATGTTTGATTTCTCCTATTTTCTGTTTCCAGAAAATTAAGATACATTTTCAGGTTCATAACTTAAGGGATTACTCAGTGTATAGCATATATTGTGGTTGATAAATGCATTCTTAATTACAATGCGTAAAATAAAAAGTAAAACAACAAAAAATGATGATAGTATTTACTTCAGTTGAGCACTAGGTGGTAGCACTCTGCTATTCTATCAGATACCCTAACAAAAATAGTTGTCTATTCTAATATAAGGACTTGCTTCCAAAGCCTAAACATACAAAACCCTATAACCTGGGAGGCTGGTCCAGAATAAATAAATAAGTGGCAATAGGAAAATGAGCAGACCTATACATTAAATTCATTCTGAAAGAATAGAATATTTTATTTTATACAAGCATTTATGCAAATAACCTAATGGCACAATCAATACATGGTCAAAATATATTTTCTCTTTGAGTTATGAAATTCTTAGAGCAAATGGCATCCCTCCCTACCATATTCCAGGAATGACAAGCCTTTGTTTGACCTAAGATGGTAAAGCAATCTGTAAACTACCAAACCAGATAAAGCAGGAAAGCATTTTCAACATATGGAGTAATTTCTCCGAATATATGTATGTGATCTGCCTATGCATGTGCTGAATTTCAATGCCCAGGTGTTACAGGCATTGTAAATCATTAGACAAATAAAAATGTCCCATCATTTAGCAGAGCGGAGTAGGTACCTCAGGTACAGGTAGTCCTCACTTACAACAGATCATTTGAAGACCGCACTGAAAAAAGTGTCTTATGACAATTTTTCACACTTACAACTGTTGCAGCATTCCCTGGTCACATGATCAGAATTCAGATGCTTGGTAACTGACTCATAGTTACGATGGTTTCAGTGTCCCGGAGCCATGGGATCACCTTTTGTAAACTTCTGACAGCAAAGTCAATGGGAGAGCCAGGTTCACTTAACAACCATGTTACTAACTTAACAACAGAGATGATTATATAACAACTGTGGCAAGAAAGGTCATAAAATGAGGCAAAACTCACTTAACAAATGTGTCACTTAGCAATTGAAATTTTGAGCTCGGCTGTGATCATAAGTTGATCACAGCCTGTAACTCAGGGGTGTCAAACTGCCAGTCCGCAGGCCAGATGCATCACGCCAAAACCGCGCCCACTCCATTGCCAGCAATAGAGAAAAAAGTCATGATACGTCGTGACACATCACATGATGTTGCGAGTTTGACACCCGTGCTGTAGCTGATTTAAAATGTAGTGGAAGGAAGCCAATAGGCACTTTTACACTGATTAATGCAAAACTTTTATTCTTATGGATGGCTATTTGTACAGGCTGAAAGATTTGCTTATCCCTCATCTTTTTTTCCCATCCAAATTCAAAACTAAAATTGACATGCAGGAAAAGATTCATCAATGTTTATGATCAGTGAGATTCACCAATGTTTATAATCAAATAAACTTAAGCAGTGATCAAATTATTTTCCCATTTCTATTGTGAATGCATAGTGTGATTAAATATAAAGTTGAGAAAAATGTTATCACAAAGACATTGGCCTAAAGAAAAGGATTCTTCACTTTACCCTACATGTGTTGTCTTCTAATTTCTAGGACAATGTACTGTAGAGTAAGTGTGATATTATGGTTAAAACGGTAGACTGTGAGTGGGGAGACTGATACTCAAGTCCACACTTAGCCATGGAAATCTACTGAATGACTCTGCCAGCCAATGTACTTCACAGGATTGTTCTTATGGGGATAGAATGCATGGAGATCTCATGAAAGTCACCTTGAGCTCTTGAAGGAAAGGTGGGAGATAAATCAGACAAATAAATACCACACACACACATATACACAAATCAGA